CGGTCTTCTGTTTATGAGAAAGAGCAGGACTATAATTACCCGATAATGGAGCTCGTTCTCAAGTAAACAGAATATTGGGTCTGAAATTGCATCAGAAAGCCAACTTGAAAGACGTCTTTTATCTTACAGAATCACAATTTGTGCCAAGAGTGCAATTAATTTCCCTCATCAGTCGCTATTAAAATAGAGTTCAAAAGCGAACGTCTTTATTGAAAATTCGCTCTGTAGGAGGCTGGCTGGCTCTTAATATCAGTGTCGCTGTAATTAAGTGACAAGGATTGGCAGATTTCAGTGTAAAAGCATTTTCCTAGATCTTCGCCTTCACTGAAAAGAAGCGTTTGACAGTTTCACTGGCAGAGAGTTTCCAAAGCGAGGAAATTTACATAAGAAATTTAACAAGTTTCTTCCCAAGTTCTGCTGTTAGCGCCTCAGGGCTGTCTATTTTTGGAAAAGGAAAGTATTTATCAGGGCACATGCAGATACGAGTTTAAACAGAGAGAAATGAAATAGTTAAAGCCCAGAATTCAGCCATCTGAGCGGCTTATGTAATTCTCTCGTTTTTCAAATGCAAAGTTTGTTAGACTGAATGAAACAGATACAGAGAATTTAGAGCAAATCGAGGAGACCTTTAGAAACGGGCGTAGTTTACACTTCGCAGCGCAAAGAATGATTGGTTTCCAAATCGGCTTCCGGAGACATATTCCTCACTGGTCACTATAAGGAAGCTTTAAAGATTTCGAAAATCACGCGATGATACTTATTAAAACGTGTACCACAGAACTGTAAAAAGTAAAAAAAAAATACAGCATAGATAACGGAAAGATGACAGAGCAACAAATACACTCTCATCCTGCGGTATTTACAAGAGTACGGAGTTTAAGTTGTCACTACTGAGACTTGTGATAAAACTTTGCCGGAAAAACGTAGCTTATTGTTATTACAGCGACCTGTGGAAAAACGTAACTTATTTCCCTGTAAGATTTTCGCCAATAACTCGATGCGTTAACCGTTTCTGACTATTTACTGAATCTCTTGAATCGTAGCAATATCATGCTTAAGAATAGATCTTGACATCTGGTCTGCAACTGATATTAGCATTCGGGGATGAAAATAGGCTTAGATAAACCTTAAATCAATGATTACATTTATTAAATTTGTTCCAAAGGAAATTAAGTAAATTGCTTAGCATCACACTTAAGATGTTTCGCTGAAAGTGTTTACTTTTGTTAAGACTGTATGATTCAAGATTGAAAAGGTCCTCGTTTTAGCGCGAGAAAATGTGCACCGAGTAGGTGTTAAAAATTATCAAGCTGCAAAATCAAATAAGGAGGACTGGTGAGTGGTTGAGAAATTCAGTATTAAAACGGATGGCCAGTTCATTCTCTTTGCCTTCGAAGCGACGAAATTCGACCTTCTGAATACGAACATCGTTTAACCATAAACACTAAATGAACAATAGAAACAAAGAGTTAAAATGATGATCCATACCTTGCAAATAATTTCCACTGATGTAAATGGTTTTGTGCTCAGTTAGCTATAGTAAATGTCGCCGAGATCAAGAAAGCCTTCCCTGTTGGGAAAAATAACCGGAAACTGAAACTCGGGCTTATAACTGTCAGCCTTTTTGTTGCTAAGGAAACGAGAATCAGAAATTTTAAACCAATCCAACTCTAGCCTAGGGCTTGAATATTTACAGAACGATTTCCAGAAAGGAATTACTTGCTCCAGTGAGTGCGTGTGCGAACGATTTCCGAGGTCTTTTTTTCGAACTTTTCTGTTTTAGCCGGTGTTGAGAGGATTTCAGATCTCCGGTAAACGCATTCTTTGCGGAAGAGAGGGGGTTGGGGCGACCTTCGTTGTATCCCACCTGACCGGCTTGCCACCTCGCCTCCAGAACATTTCAATCGGTAAAATACCAGGCTTCTGTTTCCATGGAGAGAAAGGCGGAAGAAGCGATAGTGCTCTAACTTATTTTTAAGTTGCAGCTCATAAACATTTTTGTGATCTTTATTTTCTTTTGGGTTCTCTACCGATGGGTTCTCTACCAATGCTCTTCTCAAATCCGGAGAAGACGAGTGCTCGTAGCACTAGGTAGCTAAAGTAAGGATTCCCAAACCTCGTCCTTTTCACATATTTTTAATGATAAATTGACACACTCCGGGTTTTACAGTCATGTTTCTTAATAAGTAAAACTGTTCTAAAAAACAAAGGCAGCTGAACTACACATAAACAACCCATGATACTCACTCAAGACACAGTGGCATAATGAGTGCGCATGCTTGCAGCACACGAAAAATTTCATGTGCAGAAAGGATTGGGAACGACAATATTTCCATAGAAACACCATCGTGGCAAAACAGCGGCATTTTTGAAATTCTCATTGCTTGGTTGCATTTTGTGGAGATAGGCCCTAACCAAAACAGATACAGTTGCCGTTTTCAGAAACGTTTCCTTTGAACCTCCTCACTCAACAAAAGAAATATTGCGGTAACAGCTGCAAATTTAGTAACCGCAGTAGTGCATCGGTAACATGGCTAAGATGTTCATAGCACCTTTTATCGCTTTAGCGCTTCTTTTCATCGCCTCCTCAAAAGGAAAACTCCCAGAAAAAAATGGATCGTTGTCTCAACGGAGCATGCGCACCCATTTTGCCGCTGTCCTCACTCTGTGGTCGTAGTTGATCAAGAACTCAAGATAACGTGAATCGTAAGTCACGTATCTTAATATTGTCGTTTTCAAGTAAATAAACATCAATAAAATGATTTGATTACACAATCTCTATCAACACGCTATTTCTATTCATGTCAGTAGTGGTGTCTATTCCCGCTACAAAAACACTTGGCTTGTATCTGCTAAGCCTCGATCGAAAACAAATATACTCTTTCTACGGCTTTACTCCTGAAAAACTGAAATGGAGTTGATTTATCGTGTTGACAACTACAGCTTTTTCAAGGTCGGTGGATCACAGAGTCTGCGATAATCTGCAAAAAAAAATTAAAAATTTGGTGCTTTTTTGAAATTACATGCCATATTCCAGTCCTACTTAGCTCTGGGACTGGCCAAGCTGGGTTACCTGTGGTACAGTGCGGGGAAGAACTAATCTGTTAGGGGATAGGAGACGGGACGTCATCTAACATGGCCGTTAAGATGTACGGCGTGTTTCAATCTTGTTCCCAGGGTCCTCTCTCTTCCTCTCTCGCACGAATTCTTATGAAAAATTGGATTTTCTTCGAGGTGCTTGAGCTTCATGCACCTCAAAGTTTTAAAATTGTGACGAATAAAGTTTGTTGATCTTTAACAGAAATGTCTGTT